TGAAACATCTCGCGTCACGGGTACCAATACAAATAAAACATCTCCAGTTAACTAGCAGCATTCGTTTCATTCATTTGTTAAATAAGAGGCGATCTAGCGCTGGAATGTGTTGTCTTCACTCGGACGCGCGCTTCAATCCGTTGCAGAGATTCTATTCGTTCCAGAGAAATCACAATTCAAAATGCACACAAACGTGTCCCTGCTTCTCTGGGTTCTAATCCATCCGCACTCGTATAGTTTTTTTTTCCCCCTCATCAAAACCGATAATGTTTATCAGTGATAAAGTATATCAAGATTCTTGATATACAACCACTGATAAACATTAGGTTTTGATGAGGGAAAAAATACTATACGAGTGCGGATTAGAACCGTCAACCTCCGACACGCTTGGCAAATATTCCGCCACTGGACCATTACAGTACATAAGCGATGTAGGCGGATCTATGTAGCCTATATATTCACGTAAAAATTCACGATACTAACAAACAACATTATATTAGATCTCATTTTACGACCAATTAAATTTAAACCCAAAGTACCATCACATTTTTGGTCGGACATCATCACATCTTTGTATACATTTTTATTTATTTAAATCAGTAAGCTACAGTACATCGTCTTTCAAACCATGACCTGCGCGAAAGAGAAAAAAGAATGAATGCGTCATTGTACCCAGCACTTTTGAAAATGCCCTTCCGAATGCGTCTCTGTCCCCACCACATTTCAAACCAAACTGACGCCCATGGTTTTGAACACTGGCTGGTTATGTACTTGCTCAAAAAAATTTTAACCCCAAAAAGTTACGGAATGCAGCTTTAATGTAGTATTCATTGCCTCCGAATGTTGTTTTAGAATGTTACAAGTCGTGGAGGAATTCCGGTGAGGAATAGAAAGTCATGTCTATTCTCAGAACAAACATAAAACAAACACAATAGAACTATAAAAGTTGTTCATGTGAGCATGTTTAAACAAAAGGATTTATACTTACTTATTACTTAATTTGATACGCTAATCCACATAGGAAAAACAGACAGAGGTTTACGTAAGGTAATGTGAAGTTAAGTGGGGCAGTCTGAAATCTGCCCTAACAACTCTAAATTAGAGCGTGCTGCAGTTCCATTTTCCACCACAGATTTACACCATAGACTGTAAAAAAATAGATTTACACTAGAAACCATGGGGCGCTGTAGAGCTGGGGAGGACTCAGCCACCCTCTGCCCTGCTTGGTTAGTATCATAATACATGCATGCCGAAGCCATGCGCTACATTTTAATATATCCCCACTCACTTTAGCTTAAAAGCTTAAAAAAGTCGAGAAAATTCAAAACGTATTTGTTGTAGAATGCTGAACAATTTTACAATTTATTATTGATTCAGTTTACATAGAGGTCTATGTTTGGATGTATATTTTGGTGTGGCATGCATAAACAATGACTGCGCTAATGCCAGTGACAAGTAATATCTTACTTGTTAATTAAATTTACATGGTAAATAAGTTACATTTAGCAATAAATAAACTAGATACAATTAATTGGTTCCAGGGCTACAACTCAAGTAGATGTTAAAGGGGTGGTTGATTATGATTTCACTATTCTAACTTTAGTCGTTTTTTAAGGACTACAACAAACGGCTGGTAGGGACTACACGACATTCCTCCCGGGTTAGTGACATCACTAATCCAAAAATGTACATAAACCCCGCCCCCGGGAACACGCAGTCCATGTTGAGAAGTGGAAGAGTTGTTGTAGTAGAGCACATTTGTGAGTCTGCTCAAGCTGTCGCATCCTCCTTTTCACATGCAATACAGTACGTAACACAAATGCAATAGCAAGTCACTCTGTAGGCCTCTTACAACAGTTCCCACACGAGCGATTTTATAGATTATCATGACAGAATATGCTAATCAAAGACTTGAAGATAGTTAACTCCACATCAGAAACATACATTTATCCACTAACCATTCAGAAACATCCTGTTGCATTCTACGTTGTCACTTCTTCTTTAGTCTCTCCATCATTGTCTGACTCCAGTTTAAACATACATGCAGAACGCTTGTCTGCGTGAGGTAATCGGAGCTGCTACCACACACACACACACACACACACACACACACACACTTGAAGCTCCGTCCTCTGTGCCGGGAGCAGCACTTAATTTACACTTAAAGGGACACACACGAAACAACGCGTTTTTACTGACCCTCAAAAAGGGACAATTTTAACATGCTGTAAAAAATAATCTGTGGGGTATTTTGAGCTAAAACTTCACATACACACTCTGGGGACAACAGAGACTTATTTTACATATTGTAAAAAAAGGGACATTATACCACCCTTTACATTTTTTAGGAGACATAATTTTTTAGAGTGTAATCCATGGAAGAAAGAAATTTATGTGGTTTCCTGATATTGAGAAAATAGTGACTGAATTTTCATTTTAGTTAATCTATTCCCTTGTTTTTCTTTCCTGTTTGCACCTTCAGGCTGTGAAATTATTAGAACTGCTATTTCTCCTGGACAGCCTCATTATTAATGATCTGATGAAATCACATCAGTAAACACAGAGTTCAGGTAGAACAAACAAAAGCGCTTGGGGAAGTTCAAACAGAGAATAAGGAGAGCCTCAGAGGCACACCAGCATCAAAAACACGGGCAACTGAGAAACATTTCTCTTTTTAAACCCCAACAGCTGCATTCACATCTGCGACAATAACCCACACCACCATAAACATCACAAGTGGTAACAAATGGAGGGCCATGTGTGGTGTGACTCAGACAAACAACGATGCACCCGGTGAAGATTAGACAACACAACAGGAGTGGATAAAAAGGAGAAGCTATTGAATCCGGTCTACACATAAACACATACCTTCACATTCCAGCTTTACCACAGCAGCCAATGCAGTGAATGAACTGCGGTAGGGGAGATCAGCTGATTTATCCTTGCATACATAAGTTTAAGCACACCACTAGAGTGAGTTAAGCACAGAATAAAGGCTTAAGCTCATCTAAAGTGCATATATCCCTCAACACAGGAAATAAATAAAGTCTAGTATTTCCTCATTTACACATTACACAGTCTGTATTTTGACTATATTAATGGCAGCTGGAATGGAGCCACATAAGTATGAGTCTACACCACAGAACCATGTGTTAGCAAAAAAAAAACACACAGCACGCAGTGGGAGGCTGCTCTTTCATTCACTGACTCAATCTGCAAATTCAAGAGCTCTTTTCATCAATGGACGGAGGCGAAACCGCTAAAAGCCCAGTTGAGGAGCCAATTCACAGGTGATGAGATTTGGATGGTATACACAGCTGTTCTGGAGATATAAGATATTGTGTATTAAAACTATTTAAGGGTATATCAGGACTGTACCCAACTCAAACCTCAAATGAGATGCTCCATTAGCCATGCGGTTTTAAAGCGTAATTAATCCCTAAGTGCTGACAAATCAGTACAGGGACAAACAACTGGCAAAGCGATGATTCATTTTGACTGCCTGCTCTGCAAAGTCAGAAAGCCTTTTATTTTAAAACCAACTAATTACTTTAATTAATGAACAAAGCGAGGCACTTGCGAGCCACTACACTCTAAAAAAAAATGGTTCTTCAGCGGTTCTTCAGGGGTTCTTTGCGGTGGTCATGGTGCTATATAGCACCACTACCATTTAAAGAACCTGTTAAGCCCAATTTGGTTCTTCAGCGGTTCTTCAGTGGTTCTCTGGGGTGGTTAAGGTGCTCTATGGCACCTCTAAAGGTTCTACATAGCACCATTTGACAAAGATAAGTGCTATATGGCACTTAAAGTGGTTCCCCTATGATTACAAGCCAACGAACCACTTTTAGTGCTATTTAGCACCATTTTTGTTTAGAGTGTAGGCTACTGCATGTGGGCTGAAGAATATGAGCATCAATACAATTTATAATGTAGCGTAGAATGTAATGTTTTCATGTGAAATAAAGTACGTATGTCGCAATAGAGAGCTAGACGGCAGAAAGAAAATGAGGAAAGAAAAGAAAGAAAAGAGGAAAAAGAGAGAGAAAGAAAAGACAACAAAAAGAAAAGTGTTCCCGCAGTAAATAAATGTCCATTCCTAAAAATCATTCTGATAAATATCGACTAGCTAACTGAATCACTGAATCATTTGTGAATTGTGAATGATTGACTCATTGAAAAGATTCAACTTAAAAGAATGATTCACTCAAAAATTGTAAATTACTATGGTTTGTGAGCAAGTTTTACCCTAGTTTTAATTTTAGTGTAAATTGCTTGTTCTTGCCTGTAAACCACTTGAACTGCATCGATTTATTTGGAACATTTGCTATATAAATAGAATTTGATTGATTGATTTATACACAAGAGCAATATAGCATATCAAATATTTGAGAACATATATTGAACAAATATTTGATAACTAGAAAAATGTATATTCAAAATAGAAGTTATTATATAAAATATTATTATTTGTGATTCAAGATTCAATTTCAAATAAATGCTGTTCTTTTATACTGTTTCTTGATATTAAGCAACACAACTGTTCTCAACATTTATAATAATAATAAATGTTTCATGATCAGCAAATCAGCATATTAGAATGACTTGATGACTTGAAGGACCATGGGAAGGTAAAGACTGGAATAATGGCTGCAACTTTGCCATCACAGGAATAAACTGCATTTCGAAATATATTTAAAATAAAATAAAATAAATAAATTGTAAAAGTATTTCATAATATTACTGCATGTTTTATTAAATAAATAAAGAACAGTAGTAGTGTATGTGATAACTAGAAAATGTGCATTGACTATAGACATATACACTTTTAATATTACCACCAAATATATTAATCGTGGGAACTCTGATAAAAGAAACAAGTCAAGATGAAACAAGAATAGAAGCGCTGTAAAATGAGGTTTAAAAAAAAGAAGTAAGGCAGCATTTGCCCTCACAGCCTAAATCTGAGACCCCCTCTCTGCTTGTCAGTTCTGCTTTCTCACCAGGACTGTGGCTTCCTCTTCAGCAGCCCCTGCCGTCTCCACTGGGAGTGTGGGCTCAGGTGGTAGGTCAGCTGACGACACACCTTCTCCATGGAACCCAAAGCATCTCCCTCCTGACAAAGATGGAAAGAGAGAGATCGCATCAATCAAGCTGTAACACACAGCAGGTTAATGGGGACTGGCAGAAGATCAGGGTCTCTGAGCCCTCAAGGTAAAATACTAATTTCTTTGACATTTGTGATGACAGGAGCAAAGCAAATGGACTGACCGATATATCACAAACTCATTCTGACTATATCATTAGGTCATCTGAGGTTCTGTGAATGTGTATGTGTGGGATTTGGTGTCCATGGTAAAATGCATTAGCAAGTAATATATTAGTGGCATATTGATGTATTGTACAGCCATCTCTGGAAAGCTTTATTATTTTTACTCGCATTCATCACTGCCTAAAGCAATCCAATTTGCAGTGAGACACGAACACTCATACACACTCAAGTAACTGCCACACTCCTCTATACTCTTGCAGGGTTGTCAATAATTAAACTGAATTATTTAATTGTTCTGGATGATAACCAATAGGTAGCTGATAAATATTACAAATTAAAATCCCTTGCTTTAAATGCTACAAATGAAAATAGGCTTCACAACTTTATAATGTAGAGTATGAAAAATGGATATTCATTTTGAAATTTACCAAAGATTACATTTAATTGTGTAAATGAATTAGACACATTTAACGTTTAAATTCAAGTTTAAGTGAGCTTTAGATGACAGTAAAAGTTCATTTATATGCAAAAAGTGAAATACACAATTAAATATCCAATAACAACTGATACAGCAATGAATTATTTTTTTTAAAATTAAGTAAAAAATATGGAATCGATATATGATGCTTCCATAATTAAACCTGAACCATTATGCTGTGATCAGTGTTGTTATTGTTAAATCTATTACAAATGATTTTGTAAATTGAAATATAGCCGAAATAAATAAAATATAGATGGGAAACTAACTAAAATAAAATGTTGAAAAGTTGAACCATTAAAATGACTAAAACAAAAGAAATGATTGCTAAATAGAAATGTAAAAAATGACTAAAATTGAAAATATATATATAAAAAAAGAAGCTAAATCAAAATATTAATAAATACTTAAATAGTATATAAATAGTACTAAAATAACATTGGCTATGATATTGGAACACATTTCATATTATGAGGAACTGCAAAGATGAAACCTTGAATATGAGTTTTTATTTTTTCAATGTCCATTCTAACAGTAATTTTGTCTTATCATGTTAATCACAGCTGAAATGTACAGAGGTTTATCACTGTAATAACATTGATTTGCTTCAGGTAATAAATCAGGTTCAGTGCACTGCAGGGAATGAGAGGGCACTGCTCATACCTGACTAGATTACCAATTATCTATATTTTCAAGTATAAACTCTAGGCTCCAATAGGAACCTAACCTACAAAAATATCTCTACATGTAGAGTGGTTGCGAAAACTCAGAGGGCCGGGACAAAATTGCTATAGGTCTTACCCTGGGCCAAATTAGATTTGTTCTTGCCCTGAATCCAAGACAACAGTAACATAGTATTTCATCAAGGGCACATTGTCTGTGCTCAGGTGTCTGTATCCGTACTGGAAACATCAATATGTAAATCAATCCCGCCATCATGTCTCTCCGCTGCACCAGGTCTTGACCTCTGCAGTGGATCAGAGATAGAACTATGCCTGTGGAAAACGCACCCTATTTGTTGGTAAAGCCTAGTTGCTGCTGACGGTGAGATTAACAGTGCCACATGGCTGGTCAGCACTGGAGCACATCCCCCTGCAGACAGACACTGGGTCCCCAGGCAGTGTAATCATACACCCAGCTTGCTCTGACAGCTCTGAGAGTGTAACAGACAGCCCAGCTTTCCTTTCGTCACATCACTGAGCTCGTCTCTACTTTGTCTCCCTCCATTACTTACAATAACATCACTTAGAGGAATGTCACCTTACATACTTGCGTGAACTCTCACTCTTCCCACTGTTAGTTAACATTTCATTATGTCTGTTTGGATAAAACGTTATTGCATATGCATGTTTCTGAGGCTGGATACCATTTTTTAGCAATAATGTCCAGGTCATGGACTAGCCATCTGTCCAGGGTTTTTCCACCGCATGGGACCTGAGATGCTGGGATAGTCTCCAGCCGTCCCAGTTTGGAGAATGGATTGATCCATAGATATCTAGGTCATATTTCACCATAAAAGCATAAAATGATGATTATTATTATTATTATTTTTTTTTAATATTTGTACATAAATATATACATATATGTTTGGGGTCGGCAAAGTCTCTTATGCTTAATTTATTAGATCAATACTAGTAAAACAGTAACATTGTGAAATATTATTACAATTTAAAATAATTGATTTCTATTTTAATATATTTTAAAATGTAATTTATTCCTGTGATGACAACGCTGAATGCATCACATGATGAAGAAATCATTCTAATATGCTGATTTGTTGCTCAAGAAACATTTTTTATTATTATCAATGCTGAAAACGTTGTGCTGCGTAATATTTTTTTGTGGAATCCTGATACTTTTTCCCATTATTCTTTGATAAATATATAAAAAGAACAGCATTTATTTGAAATAGAAATATTTTGTAACATTATAAATGCCTTTATTGTCACTTTTGATCAATTTAATGCATCCTTGCTGAATACAAGTATCAAGTTTAATTGAGACCTATATACTGTATATATATATATATATATATAAATAAATACATACATTTGGTTTCTTATTGTGGTACTGTGATTTGGATTTTTTTGTATTATGATCATTAGCACTGAAGGAGGGAGTATGCTTAATAGACAAAAAAAATTATATATATATATATATATATATATACACACAAAAATATAAATAACGTCAAAATAAAGCAAAAAATCTTAATGAGCCTAAAAATAGGCTTAATTTTCTTTATTATATAAAATCTTATTTCATAGTTCTTTCTTTTGGCTTTGGGGTGAAATAAAACCAGAACATGTTATTGACAGATTTCATGAGTCTCACACAACTACATCTGGTTAGAGAAGGGAGGATGAGCTCAGTGTAAAGAAAACAATCGGCAGCATCCTCACTCAGTGTTGTTTTGGTGGTGGTCAGGTGTTTGTGCAGCTCTCTATAGGAGCTGAGCAGGGTGTTAGTGGTGTGATATAGGTGCCTGACTTGCTTCATTACGTGCAGCAGCAGCAGCAGTAGTCTTGGAAGAGGGCAGACTGGTCTTTGTGTGTGACTCATCTGCAAGTACACCTCCCTCTGCCTCTACCCTCTCCGCTCTCTTCATCTCTGCTTCACCCTCACACACACAGACTCACACATGCTTAAGCAACTGGGTTTTATCCTAATGCTCACTGCACTGGAATGGTATGTTTCATTTTTCACGTCTATCTGCTGTGCCTTCCAGGCAGAGTTCTAAAATGTTCATTAAATATTAATGTAACACAACATACAAGAAATGCACAGAAATAGAGGACGCAGAATTAGTAAAGCCTGTGTGTTTATGTTAAGGTGAATGGGATTAGGTTTAAAATGTCACAGAAAATCACAGAATCTGAGCACTATACCTTTGGGCAGTGAATGTATTTGGCCAGACTAATAATGAGGTCATGGGTAATGGGATCCACCAGGTTGCGGAAACTGGCATAGCGGTAGAGAACATCGTCCAGAGAGGTTGACTCCATTCCCAGATCCTGGAAAAAGAAGACACAATACAGGGAGGTCAAGAGAATGGGAATTACATTCTCTGACTGACTGCTTATTTTTGAATTCTGAATCTCTAAAATGTCATCTAAGAAGCTTTTTGTTTGCAGTATTTGTCACATGTGGATTCAAGGATTCTATGTAAAGGTGCATGTGACATTTATATACACCTGAAGGCCATGTACCTAAACAAAATTTGTGCTTTGTAAACACAAACAATAGCTAAGTCAATTTGTTCATGTTTGCCTGTTCACATCCCTGAAATCATTAATTGATGTTGCCCTATATCAAAATGTGGACAAAGAAAGCAAACAGACTTTGTAGTCCGCAAAATCCTTTAACTCTGCAAAACGAGGCAAACTGAAGGAAAAGTTAATCTACATAATTGAACATTTGCAAGCTGTAAAGCAACAGGGCAGACAGGGGGTCAGCAATTTAAAAAATTGCAAATGTGTGTGGGGGTGAGGGCTCTACAGTCAGAACTAAATAATCAACGGAAAACGAGTGGGCGTGACAGAAAGCAAATAATCATTAGTATGACAAAGTGAATGAGTTCAGGGAAGGTTAGTTTTTGTTAAGAGAAAAGGCTGAATAATTTCAATGTTACTACATATAACATAAACTTAATAATGAATTTCTCTAACACTAGACCACCTCTGTCAATAAAAACCTGGACCGAGACTGTGCATGCTGAGCAAAAGCCTTGGTTTATCATCAGCATCCCTCTATGGAGGGATGAATCTTGATTAATTGATTTCCATTTAATCAAAGGCCCATCCATTTTCATGGTTTCCGGGCAACAAGGTGCACTTGGTAACCACTGGACAAGAGACGCTGTCCTTTGACTCTATTTCTTGCTCATTATGTGCTTTAGCCCCCATTGCAGGATACACAGCAAATACATTCCAGTAAAACTACCACATTTATATGTGATAAAAAGCTTCCCCTTGTGAAAAAGAAGTGTGCTTAAAAGTATTGAATGTTTACTAAAAATATATTTGAAAAATGTTTTACTTGAAGATAGTACACTTTGTAACAATGGCAAATTAAAGTATGTTTACGTATTAATAAACTTTTATTCTGATGTGCTGACTCACATGCTAATGTAAAGTACTTGATTATGATTATTTTAAGTTAATATAAGTTCATATTTTTCAAATTTACTAAATTGCAACTTCAAGTCCTAAAAGCATTTCATTTGATATAAATTTAAACTATAATACATTTTCATTTCATTGTAAATAACATGCAATTAAGTGCCTGAAAACATTATGTTCAGTTTGAACTTAATAACTTAATACTAAATAATATACTTTGAAATAATATATATGAAATGATATATTGTCAAAGTATGCTAAAGTGTACTTCTTTTTCACACCTTTTGAAAAAATACAGTGTATTCCAAAGCCACCTGTTGCTTCGTCACTGCCCAGCAGTTCATGTAATGCTACCTATGGAGGATTAGAAAACCCCATTAGCTCGGTCTTTGATCCCTGCTGCACATAGATTAACTTCTAGTCCATAAGATGATCCTTACTCTTGAGGAATGCTGGATCAAAAAATAGTAATGGGGCAAGAGTTCTGGCAGCACATATCTACACTGGCTTGATCTCACTGGTATACTGAAACAAAGAAAGTTCCTATCTGTCTGAGACAGCCATTCGATATAAAGCAGACCATAATCACTACCCAAAGCAAACAGTTGGTATTTATGCAGTGCAGTGTAACTCTCCGGCCAGCTTGTGCTGTGTCTGTTCTCACAGGTTCACAGGACTGTGAAATGGGCATCTGTCTCAATAGCACTGAATTCTGCGAGATGCAAAATCTAAAGAGTTGGGAATCTCAAGATATTTCCATATTTCTATCAAATGTGACAGCAATGGTGTGCTGGTGGAAGCTTGTTTCCGCCACAGAATAAAAAATAAAAAAGGTAATTGTGAACTTTTTCATCTCACAATGCTGACGTTTTTTCTCGCAATTGCGAATTTACATCTCGCAATTCTGACTTTTTTCTTCTTAGAATTGCTTGATATAAAGTCAGAATTGCGAGTTAACAAGTCAGAATTGCGAGATATAAAGTCAGAATTGTGTGATATAAAGTCGCAATTGCGAGTTATAAAATCCAATTCTGAGAAAAAAATCCGAATTGCGAGAGGTGAACTCGCAATTGTAAGAAAAATAGTCTGAATTGTGAAATAAAAAGTCGCAATTATCTTTTAAATTGTTTTATTACGTGGCGGAAACAAGCTTCCATAGTTTTGTCTTTCAACAACTTACAAAACAACACCAGCCCATTATGGAACTGACATTTTGGCCCAATTGCTCTCTGCTGTAAAGCAAAGTGTGGTTTCTGCATGGGTGCAAGGACAGATTACAGATCCGGCCAGTGTGGCAAATGCTTTGGGGCCTATGTTTACCAGCTGAGAGGCCCACGGTGGTCCAACATATGGAAACAAAAAAGCTGCAGAAGTAAAATGTATATAGATACAAGACTGAACATACTTACAGTGTGTAATTACAATTTTGTTACCCCCTCTCTTATATTTGTGATCTGATTTCTAGTCATTTGGACATTAATACTGCGACCACAGGGGAGCTTAAAAAAAAAACTAGTGCGCTAGAGCCTTACAGGACCAAACGCTTTAGATGGAGTGCAATATTGCTTTTGTACTGTAATATATGCACCACACTGACTTCAGGAACTCTTCAACTTCATGAACTTCAAATGAGAGTTGACAAGAACTCATCAGTGAGAGAAGTCTGACAACTTTCGTCACTCTGTTTAAGTTTAACCTAACCTACAAGAAACATGGACTGATATTTGTACCTGCCGGAGAGTCTTCAGCATCTCTGTCGCCTCATCATGTTTCCCCTGCTTTGCCATCAGCATCATCTCTTGTATCATCCCGATGCGCCGCTGGTAGGGAGGAGGAGTCCCGCTGCTTCTCAGTTTGTCTCCTGACCTCAACATTAAAGAGGTAAGGATGTCACCTCTGTCTTTTGTGGGGGTCCGTTTCCATCCTGTGCTCTGAGGGCTCGCTCCAGCCTCCTGTCCCACAGCCTTCGTTTGCTTCGCTCCCATGTTTGGTTATAGAGTCTCAACCTGGAAAAGGTCCTCCAGACTGGGCATACTTTCAAAATGCATTCACATTAAACTATTTAAAGTCCTTTACATTGCACGTGAGATTTCTTAAGAAACAAGTGAAGATAAGAAATAAGCCTTAACGTTCCTATTTAAGTTTATTGGAGAACAGTGTTTTAAAAGTCCTTCTGCTCACCTCACACCTGTCATCTCTCACCTGACAAAGAAAAAATACTTACATTAAGATCAATAAGAATGTATGGTAATAAAATTATAAAAACTTGCATCGAATGGGATTTCAGTCAAATCTTTTCACAAAGTGCTCATTCAAAGAGTGCAAATTATGAAGGTGTTTGGACCAATTAAGGCATGGACCCCCACAAAGGAAATTAGCGGTCTTAAAAATACGTATTCCTTTTACATAGCAGCATTTATACGTTTCAACAGCATTCAAACAACGTTTCCGTAACCACAAAAGTTACATTAAATGTATAACCTACTCTCGCAAACAGAATCTCCTTTGCTTATGTAACCATAGCAACAGCTGCTCGATCGATGTTTGTATCGGGTGCATAAAAAAACACTGTACTGTCGTTATTTATCACATTATCATAGACGTAGGCCTAAACATCACAAATATAACACAAAATACTTTTGTTTAGTTCAAAACGTCTTGAAGAAGGTTAACTGCGCTATAGGATCGCCAAAAGACCATTTGCGCAAGACAACCGATTGCGCTTCGAAAATTACTTAAAAAGTTGACCTCACTGAAAGTCATTGAATAATTCGCACACTTCCCATCCAATTTCCAATCAAAACTGTGTTTTAGGTAGGGTGCTGTAGTTTACTGCGCATTAAGTCCAACTTTTACATCGTTCATCACAGCTGACTCGTGCAACGTCAGTTGTTTCCTCTTTTAGAAATCATCCTTCCGCACGCGCAAAATTATTTGGAATTTTAAAAAATGACAAAACATATAAAATACTGCGCGTTTCATGTCAAACTACTCGTAATTCAGTCCAATTAGGTCAAAGCTTAATAATTGATCTCTTCTGTCAAAAACTCCAATAATCCTCTAGTCCCTCAGGTAGGGAACAGATCTGATGACGCCTTCAGCATGACCGCAGATTAAAGAATAGTCCCATAAACCTCCAGAAACTCTCTCAGTCCGGTTCCACAGAATTATAACATGATTTTACGGAAGGATGATTCGTGTTTTTCTTTCAATCACTGTTTAAGCGTGTTAACATCGCAGTTCCTCCGCATTCTCTCATACGCACACGATGTAGGTTTCAGTATGAGTTTAGTCGACGGCGAGCAGAAGTGCTGTGAACAAGGGCATGCCAATATTTACGTCGTCCGTCACTGTTTTCCTCTCGCACAAGTCATCCCAGTATTTCCTTCCACGCAGCCCGCGGAAATGTCACTGTTCACTGCTGAAATGTGCCGTGTCGAATAATTTCTTTCATATGACCTCCCCTCCCCAGGTGTGTCCCGTCTGAGGGCTGGGTGTGTTCAGAGGAGAGCGACTGAACGGTCTCTCATCCCTCGGATGGAGCGGAGAGGCGCTGGGTCTCGACACATGCTGTGCGGGAGGGGTGGAGCGGTCTGCAACATCCTCCACTTGTTTTTCAGTCTATAGTCCAGAATGTACCACTGCCATGGTACAGTTTACCAAGTGGAGAATATGGTCGCAACTGGGACTGCTCCATGTCTGCACTTGACGCATTTCAGCACTTTAAAGGATATAAAAAGAACCATTCACAAATTCGGGCAATCCCAAATCCCCATATATGCGTAGGCATAGATTCTCCTCAAGTTATTTTATATCATTGACTTGTTCACTGCGGTCATAGTTGGCCTTTCTTTGCTGACATCTGGTGTTTAACACATGCCATATCATCTGCTGCACTTTTTTGTTCTTGGGAGGAAAATTCGGTATTGATAATAAAACACTCACAAAAGAAGCATGGAATAATATCTAAGCTAAATATTACACAGAACTATAAGACAAATATAGATTATTATAGATAAGTAATTGAGATGACATCATTACCTCATTGATCCTCTTTTAAAGAGACAGTTCACTCAAAAATGAAAATACTGTCATTTACTATAGTATTTTAAAAAATGCTGTGGAAGTCAATGGCTACCGTCAACTTTTTGGTTACCTAAATTCTTCACAATATATATTTTGTGTTCAACAGAACAAAGAAACGTATTCAGATTTAGAACAACATAGGGGTGAGTAAATGATGACAGTAATTTCATTTTTGGGTGCACTATCCCTTTAAGTATATTCTCTGTAGAGAATGTAAGCTGCTATTGTGGAACCACATACATTTTAATAAAAAACAGGAAATTGGAAATGTCATTTTATTTATGCTTTTACAAACATATTTACAGTAACCAGTAAAACAGTTCATCATCCAGTAGTCTAAACCAAATATATGATCAAAGGTTGGTTTCAAGATGATGACGATGATCTCGAATACAGTTTTATCCCACTAGGCTTTCTTAGTCAAACCAAATTTTACTGGCTGACTTCGGCATGACCAAAGAATAATCTTTGCATCAAGTCATTAATTAGACTATTTGCATTTGGAGAAAGCATTCAATGTACACTGACGGTCTTCTCCAGAATATAAGTAAGGAATTAAGTATAAGAGGGGTTTGAACTCAAGATATAAATTGAAAATACGCTGGGTTAACGCTAATAAGCTTATTCAATTGATGAACACAGCCATTCCAAATAAATAGAAGAAAAAATAAATCACAATCAAATGCTCTCAATACGGCCTTTCGAGGTGCACTTGCATCATACCATTTAATAAGATCAACTCCTCATTTCATCTTGCTATGTCTTTTTTCTTTTTAAGATATGTGGTTGCTACACATTTCCAGTGCTGCAGTCAGAGACTGAAGGATGCTTTGCTAAAACCATTATATATTTAAGGAGCACTGATAAGGGAACAGCCTGTAGGGATGCTGAGCCGAGCCGTGATGGTAGTCTTATAGGTGCAGGTTTATTACAAGGGATAGCCAGCAGGGGGAGCCTTGTCATACTTATTACTTTCTAGTGAAAAGGGTGGAATGCGCACGTCAAAGTGTGAACCATCTGTCCTTTCAAAACAGAACGTCCCCCTAAACAAGGAAATAAAACATGATATTCACACTTTATTACTGCAAGGCAAAATAACTTCATACATCACATCTAATGTCTTTACATCACATCTTTCTGATCAAAAGTATGTGAAAGCCTTCAAATGCAAGCATTCAGCCATCCAATCTAACAGATGATTTTAGAAAATGTAAAGCGTGCATTGGTAGAGGTTGTAACAGAATGTTGATAATCTCACCACATATGTCCACTGGGTGCTTGAAGTGAAACATGACTGCTGTACTGAAACGCTGGCTGTTCTCTAGACAAAACAGGCTCCTGGTGAGATGAATGACAGATTGCATTTAGAAAACATATCATATTTCCATAATCTAATTCTGGTTTGTGCTTTTGCTGACTAATAACTCACCTTGCCAACCACTCCTCTTCCACGGACTGTTTCCAGAGTCCCTGAGAGACTGAAGATCCTCCAGTGTCTTTCCCTTAGTTGAACCACCTCATTCCCCAGGTTCTCCAGACGGATACAATACCGCCACTGAGGAAAACATCAACATATTATCTCTAACAGGTCACCAATGGCCATTCCATAAATAACCCTTTTATTGAGTTATTACAAAAAGCATAATTAGGTAATTTGGCCTACCCAATACACATGAGAGTTTTGAGCTTCCTGTGGACATAGAAAAACAAATCTGAATCAAGACCACAAAGAAAAATCATTTCACTAGCATAAATAAAAATGCACAAACACACACAAATACACTCCTTATATATACATACACACTAGAGATGCACCAATGTTATATTAACAGTAAATAAAAAAGCTCTTCTCTGTTGATTTTTTATATAGCTAACAAAATGCAAACATTGGATAATTCCTTTCTGCGGTTGAAACAGTGATTGAGATATTACATGAGACATGATTCCTTTCAGTTAATGCATGATTTATCATGCTGTAACTTGTCTTAAAGTGGAAGAGATGACTCGCGCTGCCGCTTAAACTGAGGCCCTACAGCAATCTGTCACGTCACATTCAAGAGCATCAAAACGCCATTTATTGTTTGAATTTTGTGATAAAATGGACAGAATTTGAAAGCATAGACTTTGTTTCTTATCGCAAGTAACAAGGAACAAAGCTCTTTTAATGCGTTATTGTCGTGTTAACTTGCCCTAAATTCAATCGGCCCTGATCATCGGCTGTTTTTAAACAATCAACACATCAATGCATCTCTAATATATACATTAGGGATGTCCCGATACCACTTTTTCACTTCCGATACCGCCGCTTTGGCTATTTGCCGATACCGATATCAATCCGATATTTTTATTTTATTCCATTTTATTCTTGAACTAATACTAATAGGCTACTTATAATATTATGGAAGCACTTTGCTCAATTAGCAACCTAAAAACAATTCACTCAAATGGAGAACAAATACTTCTCCAGTAGGCTATAGGCTAGTCCACAACACAGTTGATTAGGAAAGACTGCCACCCTTTATTCAAACACACACACACAAAAAAAAGTTAAAGTACCAACGGGTTTAAAGTTAATCATTAACAAGCTTTAAAATTCCCCATTGATCCGTGTACTCTTGCGTCCATTCGTTTTTCCTTTTTTAACCCGTAAAACGAAAAATTAACGGTTGTTGTATTTTTAAAACGCAAAGTTGAACACCAAAATTTGAATTGGAACTGTATGCACACCAAAAGCTGCGCAAAAAAATAAATTGACGTTAGTTATATATAAATAACTTGTTATTTTCTGCATGACCAGAAATGATAGAGTATTTTAAGTTGTTTCCACTGTTGAAAGTGTTCGCGCCCGCGCTCCGTGCCATGCAGTGCGCGCTCCACACTCCCAAACACACACTTGCTTGCTTTATGCGTCAAAATCTTGTGTAGGCCTACAGTTTATAAACTGAGGAGACGGATTGCAAAACCGTGTCTATAGTACACCGAAGGTAGTGGGAGGGAGTGTCTGATGTGAGTTTAGGTGGAACGCGTCAGCCAGAGATGTGCGTGTGTGTGTGTGTGTGTGTGTGTGTGTGTGTGTGTGTGTGTGTGTGTGTGTGTGTGTGTGTGTGTGTGTGTGTGAGTGAGTGAGTGAGAGAGTGAGACGGTCGCCGAAAGAAGGATCTGAAGTGCCGGTGTTTCGGCTACAAAAACCCGCCGAACTGATCCGAAACCAGCCCAATTTTTATCCACCCGCCCAAACCCATTTTTGACCGCCCAATCTGCAGGCTCCGCAGCTTATCTGGATAAGGGAAATGCTAATATTCAAGCAGGTATCGGATCATATTTTTTTCTCCCCTCCGATCTCCGATCTCGGATCGGGACATCCCTAATATACATACAGATAAACATACATGTTTCTTTTTACTTTCTATTCAAAGGAATCTAAAATAATGTATCATGGTTTACACAAAAATATTAAGCAGCCGTTTTCAACATTGCTAATAATAAGAAATGTTTCTTGAGCACTAAATCAGCATTTTACAATGCTTGAAGACTAGAGATGGGATAATTGACTGCTGGAAATTCAGCTTTCCTATCACAAGAATAAATTACATTTTTAAAATACATTAAAATAGTTGTTTTAATTGTAATAATATTTCACATATTACTGTTTTTACTAATAAATGCAGACTTGGTGAGCATTAGAGGCTTCTTTCAAAGACATTAAAACATCTTACCAACCCCAAACTTTTGAACGGTAGTGTATAATATATCTTAATCAATCTATACATTTAATAAAATGTAACCTGCAACCTGCAATGAGAAATTGTAATGTTGTAATAAAAATTGTAATAATTGTAACCCTTCATTCTTACCCTCATGCCCATGTAGAAGGGGATAACAGTCACACGGATGTTCTCTGTGGTTTCCCGGTGCACATCTGAGAGCTCCAGCCAGGGATGGTTCTTCTCCTGCCAGGCCCGTAGGGTGTCTCTCGCAGTAAATGGAGGATCTAAATAAACAATATGAACGCAATCCATCAGAAACTTTTTTATCAGAACTAGTATTAGTTGAATACTGTTGAAAGAGGACTAGTTACTTCTGGAGGGGTTAAACATGAGGAAGCGTTCAAACAGCTCATGCTGGATGGGGACTTGCTCAGTGGAGTTGTAAGGCAGGATGTCTTCATGACTCACATAATCCAGACCTGAAAGACATTAGCAGACACAGAACAAATGAAAAGAATGAGACAAATAACAGGCAGATAATGGAAAATTTATAAAAATGCCACCCCCTAAATTGAAAGGGGCGATTTACCACTGACAAAATGGGCTTTCAATAAAACTTTGTTTTTATGCGGCAGGAGAATTTTTTTATTATTATTTTTTACAATTATGTAAGTCTTGCGAGCACCGCTTTTGCCAAAAATGGCAAAGTACTGCGGCATTCACGCCATGTCATAATTACGTAAATAAAGCTCTGTATGCTTTTGAATCACTCTTGGTCTTTTGATGTCATACACCGATCAGTCTGCAAACCTTAAATATGCAGTGGTCAGGTGGTCCAGCGGCCACATGGTACAAGTCGTAACTCTCAGAGAAAATTACGAGTTTACACGTTGCAATTACAAAATTTACAAGCATGTAAGGGCTTTTTACAGTTCAGAATTGTTACGGTAATTATGACATGGCGTGCCGTGAACACAGCTTGCGACCTGTCATTTTCACAAAAGCCCTAGAGTTGTCAAAAGACTTTAGCTGACAAATAAACCGTGTAGGTGACAAGGAGAAAGAGTACAAACACTGTTCATTTACACTTACTATCGACATTGTAACAATACAAAGCTAGTTGAAAATCGGCAAACTTAACTTTTAAGGATAGTTGAATATTTAAGTTTACCTGGAATTGCATACAGGGCTCTACTATCATCATGATTTGCCAGAAATGTGACTGCTTCAGTCTGAGACCGCTGAGACTAATAGTGACAAAAACAAAGTAGCAAAAAGTTGACAATAACCTCATTATTGCACTAATATCATTCATCAAAGACAAACATGAATGCATTGCTTATTTAAAAATAAAAATGCTTCAACGTATACTACTGTTCATGAGTTTGGAGTCAATAATGCTTTTATTCAACATGTATGCAATAAAATGTATTAAAAGTGAAAATAAAAACATTTTCAACATTGATAAATAAGTGTGTTTTGAGCACCGAATCAGCATATTAGAATGATCTCTGAAGGATCATGTGACACTGAAGACTGGAGTAATGCTGAGAATTCAGCTTTCCTATCAAAGGAATAAATTACATTTTAAAATCTAATAAATAGAAATCAGTTATTTTAAATTGTAATAATATTTCACAATATTATCCTATTTTTTATCAAATAAATGCAGCCTTGGTTTTACTTTATTTTTATTTTAACTCCAAACCTTTTTTTTTTTAAAACAATAGAAGATGCAACAAAGAACAAAGCAAAGATTTTAAAGTGTGGTTTAAAGTGTCCAGAAATGTATTGGGGCCAACTTACTATTTACATATGTATTTTGATGCCACTTACTATGTGAGGGCAGTCTCTGGTGTCTATGAGGACCTGGTAATACGTATGCATTTTGCCCTTCACCTCTTTAGACCCATGGCCCACAGAGTCTGGCTTGCTGAAAAAGCAAAGGACAAACAGGAGGATCATTGAGCAGAAGTACAAACTTAAGAATATAATCAGGTATAAATCCAATAAATCCTCAACTACATACCTGTCAGCCACAGCAGGGCTTACATCTCTATCGTAAAGACGAGCGTGCCAGGGGAATAACACGATTCCTCTATACCCAAATACACTGTGCAGGAAAAGCTGTGAATGTTGAGAATTGAAATTACTGCATCTGAGGAATCAGAATCAAGGGATTTCGCAATAAAAATGATCACTGACCTGGCCCGTTTCATATTTGCCATGCTGCTTCAGAGCTTCAAATATTCCAACAGGTTCCAGTATTTTACCCTCAGGCCTGTTTCTACCAAAGAAACAATCATTAAAGAATGTAAACTGTAATACTGCATAGCTAGGATGATGAATGACGTCATTGAATCCAACATCCCAGCCAGCAAGGTTGAATATTGTGCAACATATTAAAAATGGAGAAATATTTGGACACAGACTAGACTGAATCTGAAAGTTTTTATGGTGCACTAAACAGACGGACATAACCAGAAATAGGACTTGTTTACTGTCTGCTGGCTCAGGCCCAGACTATCACTTATGTAATCAGGAATGGCTTTGGGGGGCTTGAAAGCAAGGCTGAGGTATGTCATTCTTGTAGGCCTCAATTGAGTGTATTGGTAGCTGTCCTTTTCCAATGGCATTTTAAGATCAACTCAAAAGTACTGTAATCAACACATTCGATTCCAGAATTCGGTTGTCCACACACTCGGTAAAAAATAAAGTGCACTGCTAACTGCACAGTTGAGCACTGAAACAATATGGAAGTGGTGTTACAGGTATGCAAGCATGTGAATCATTCAAACTACAGTAACAGCTCATATTATACACGTGACAGCTGATATTACATTCTTAATGAACATGAATACTTTTCACAGATACATTTTAAAGGTATTTGCTGTCACAATAGTTTGCTGAAACTACAACTCTGCGCAGTTATGCAAAAGAAGAACATGGTAGGACGTTCGTTCCGTTCGCCTAACTAACTTAGCTCTTACCGTGATGACATGAACCTCTTCTGTTGAAAACTGGACAACCCGCAAGCTGAACACAAAGGCTGGGGTTTTTTCGGATCTAATCCGCTGCTGAAGTCTAGTGCACTCAATATTCTGTGAGTGCATTTGTGCTGGTTATATTTACTAGCGGTGGACAATAAGCCCCGACGTATTGCACACGCTGCCATCTTCCTTTAGCTATCTGCACATGAACACACGGACACAGGTTATATCTTTCACGTTAAACCCCAAACTCACATTTTAAGCGCGCGAAATTCGGGAATATTGAGAAGCACAAGTTAAATAACATTTAATTAAGTTTTTACCCTTTTATTGCAATATTGTACAGTACAAAGTATCACACCATTTCCCATAAGGCATTGCGACCGGAAGACGTCGATACTACATAAAGGTCACACGTCTTTTCGGTTCCTTTTGTAATATATATTTATTTTTGTCGAAAGATTCTTTTATTTATTATTTTGACATTGAACTCATGTAAGGACATTTCAGAAAGATTTGACTAGATTTATTGACCCCACTTTTTCTTATTGTTTAAAAATTTTTATTTGGTTTTATTTGGCTCTAGTAAAAACAAGTATATTATTATATTATATAATACATTTACTTTTGATTTTCGCTAAATATCATATACATAAATGTAAATATATTAAAAACCAAACCGTTGTTTTTGAACAATGTACCGGTATTCTTCATTCAGATAACAAGAAAGCCATTAAGACTTTATCTATGCGAATCTTTCAACGTATTTCTTTTCAGCCCCAGGCTGTGTGTTTTCTTTTATTTATATTACTGTAGTTATGAGTGTATGTTGAATTTGTTCTTTGTCAAATACAATGAAATGCAAATTCAATACAAAATTTTAAACAACATAAATAAATTAGCTATTCACTTAATAACTCGTTTAAAAAAAGAGGATGCGTCTCGCTTGACGTTTTTGTTGTTGTTGTTGTTGTTGTTGATTAATATAACGTGCATAGACAAATTAAATAAAAACAACATAAAATAAAAGGTGATGAGGGACTATAAACCCATTTTGGTCTATAATAAGGTAATAGTATTACCATAGACCAAAATGGGTTTATAGTCCCTCAGTCAGTTATTTGTATTACCGTAATACAAATAACTGACTTGGGAACTTTATTCCTAAAGCATGATTTTGTAACTGTATTTATGAATAAAATATTTAACAACATATTTTTATCTCCATTATTAAATCTTAAAACCCTGTTTTTCACATAGGTTTTTCATTGTTTTATCAGTCATGCGCCTCAATCCAAAAGGCCAGTAGGTGGCGGTGTGCGATTATTTAGTTGGTTTGCCAATAAACCAATAAACACGCTGAAGAAGAAGAAATCAGCTGATACGCAGGGATGAGAATAGAAAACATGCTCAATTTAAGATAAAATATAACTATTATATGGGTGTAACATAGTTTATTTTTGTTACTTTATATAATTTGTGACTTTGAATTGATTGTAGTTTTAGTTTTGAGCCTTTTGATGGGGTAAATAAGGAAGTTCTATTTTTGCTTTACGCTACTTATGTACTGTCCTCACAACCCAGATTTATTACTGATATAAACTACCAAAAGTAAGTGAACGTGAACTGAACTTTAGCAGACATTTTTGCTATCATGGCTTCTTCGTTTAAAATCGGAGAGAGATTTCGGGAGAAGGCGAGAGATTTACTGGAGAGAGAATCTGCCATATCAGAAGAGCTGAAGGAAGAGTTGAATGCTCTGAAAGATCATTCCATCATTCCATTCAAGACTGTGAGAAAACTACACAAGCTTCTTCAAGAAAATGGTAAGAAACGTACACATGTTATGGAACATTTTGTGAAGCTTCTTATTGCAAATTAGAAGTTGAGTTTGGTGTTTTTGTAGGACATCCAGTGTATCTTCATGAGCTGTTTGAGGACAGCGCACTTCATCTTCCAGAAGTCATCAAACCTCCAAGGGTAAGTGAGATTCACTGCATTACTATCTCGGATTAGATTAATATTGGAAAATGACTTTTGTTTCAAGTTGTGTTTGAAGCATGATCATCCAAAAAATAACGATTTAGTTTAACCCAACAGAACCCCCAGCTGGTGGCCCGCCTAGAAAAAATAAAAGCAAAGCTTGCCAATGAAGAATATAAGAGAATAACACGGAATGTAAATCCACAGGTGAACTCTCTTTGACAGTCTTCATAACAAACACGTGCTAAAACTATAGATTTTTGATATTTATTAATATACTGTTTTACTCAAAAGGAAATGAATAATCATGGAAACTTAGCAGACTTTGGAAGAGAAGGTAAGGATGTTCCCCTTTCTCTTCTCATTTTTAATGTCTCCCCGTTATGATTTTCATCTTGTCATTTTGTCTTCTGCAGTACGTTCTGTGAAGGCAGTTGTCGTTACTGTATTCAACTTTCTGGTAACTGTAGTTGCAGCATTTGCTTGTTCATATCTGGGCACCCAGTATATCTTCACAGAGACGACAGCAGTAAGTGCACACAGCATTCTCACCAATCAATGCACTGTGTAAAACATGAAGGTGTTTTGGAACATTATTAATGGTTATATGTGTGTTTTTTTTATTTTAGAGAGTATTAGCTGCAGTGATTGTAGCATCTGTTGTCGGTCTTGCTGAGCTTTATGTTCTCGTCCGGACTATGGAGGGAGACCTTGGAGAGCCCTAATATCAACTAACATCATCCAATATTTCCATATGTTTTGTGTCATTCTTTCTGTACAGCTTACATTTGTTTTGTTTTTTTATTCTTCCTCCAAATCCAAACAGTGAGATGTCTAACAGTGTTTAACAAATTAGTCTTGATCTAACATAAAGTAAAAGGATTTTGCAAAAGAATCTTTAAATTAAAATGTACAAGATTAGAATCAATCAGTTTTTTTGTAAACCACTTACAGACGCCGCAAGGTATATTATGATCATATTGTTGTCTTGATTTCCACATCTATCATCTTAGTATTTATTGGACTGTCTTGTACAGGAGTGTCATTTCTTGTTTCAGTCATAACTAAGAGACATGGTTGTTAATGATTTGTGCTTTGATGTTTATTGTAATTGTTATTGACTCGCAAGACACATAGTGTGGGAAAATGTCATCTTTTTTTTCTTTTTCTTTTTTTACAAGAAAATAATAAAAAAATTCCAAAAAGCTTAAGTTGAGTCAAAAGCATTAAAAAAAAAATAATAATTATATATCACACTCCCTGGTGATGCTCACTGTTTAACCAGGTTTACAGCATGTCCTGTTATAACGTAGATCCAGTGCTTACTGTATGTTGTGTACTGCACGTGCTGCACACGCACCTGTGTATTTGAGCTACAGACAGTATAAAAGACAACCAGAAATGGGCAGCTCTGAAAATTAGAAAAAAAGAGACAAAACTTATAAAAACAAATGTGCTGATCTATCTGAGAACATATATTGTACCTTATTTCCTGTACATTCTATATATTTCTATCTTTCATTAGTAAATATGAAATCCACTAATACATTTCTATGTCTTTATCTTTGCAGTCTATAAAATGGCTCCATAATGCAGGTAGCGTAACCAAGCTGTTTTGTAATACATCAGAGGCCACAATTTCTAAAAAGCCTGCCATAGACAAAAGCCATGTCTTAAGGGTCTGTATAAATAGTCGATGACCTTTTCTTGACTAAAAATGCAACCGTAGAAGCGTCATGCTTGAAATGGTGTGGGTTCCCATGGACATTTTGCAACCCCAAACCATAGTATCTATATCAGAGTTCAGTTTTGTCCAGCAGAGGGCAGTGCAGAGTGTTCAGCTGGGGCTGAAGGGGCCAAGATCTCACTCAAACTTGCGCAAGTGGTTATATAGTGACTGGACGTAAGTAAAGACACACATGGGGTCTGGCTTTCTGCCCATCACCATCATGTCCTCCACTTCAATAAGCCTATCGCAGCCAGCTTTCTTCCTGGAAATAGAGAGACAGATTTAACAGGGGTGGACGTGTATGACTGCTTCTATTCATTCTTCTTGTCTGTTGACTATTTAAGTTTATATGATAACTGTAATACATATGTTCAGATGACGTTAATAGTGCAGTTTTAGATGTGAATATTTCAAGATGTAGGAATTGGGACACTGGGAGAATGATGTCATGCTGCAGCAGGGCTGTCAAGAAAGGGGAGGTTCCTCTGAGCTCAACTGGGATTTGTTGGCATGCATTGCTTTACTGGTTTAAAGTGCCGGTTACGGACACCCTAGACTCAGACGCATCGGAAACTAAGTAACATTATCTTTTGTGCCGTACTGTGAGGTGATGTGTAGCACAACTGCAGATGATTTGTGTCAACTTGCATTTTGAAATCGCTCTGTTCAGGTTGTTAGGTCGTGTCACATCAAGTTCACATCTCATCTGTCTGGTCCATTCCTATTTAAAGACTTTTAATACTTTATTGGCGCTATTAAATGGAAATGAATATGTTCCAAACTTGTGTTATTTTTTCATTGAACATAAGAGGAGATTTTGAAAGGATCTTCACACAGCTCTTTTCATAGTGACTAAGACTGAATATAGCGCATGATCTATATGGATTATGTTTTTGCGACTTATATGCAGCTTTTTTTGACATTCATTATGTTTTTGAAACATGATGACAACATTCAGTTTAATATCAACATTTCCCTTTAATACCCTGCAAAAAGTACACACGTTTTTACAGTTTGGGGTCAATGCAATTTTTAAATGTCTTTGAAAAGGCTGTATTTATTGTATCAAAATACAGTAAAACAGTAATATTGTGAAATGTTATTACAATTTAAACCGTGATTCTTTTTTTTCATCAGGAATCTTTGATGAATAGAAAGTTCGAAAGAACATCATTGATTTGAAAGAGATCTTTTGTAACATTACGAATCTCTTTAGTGTCACTTATGCACACCTATGATGCATCCTTTGATTTAGGGGCGGTTTGCCGAGATGAAGTCTAGTCCTAGACTAAAATGGCCCTTTAAACCAGATTAACAGAAATCTGCTTTCTCTGTCATGGCTTTAAATAGTCCTAGATTTAGTTTAGTTCAGAGCTTAATAAACTGATTTCCTGGAGGAAGATTAGAGTTACCCAGGACTAAATTGAGGCTTAAATTAAACCTACCAGGAGGCAGGCTTAACTTCAGATTAACATTGTGTTTCAAAGAAGACACATGTATTATATATATATATACACACAATTCATTACAAACAGACTTCCAGACTTTTCTTTTCTTTTATTCCATAGCTGATGTGTGCAGTTTATTTAGCTTGCTTAAAAATAATTTTCTCTTGTTTAGTAACGTTTTTTTGATTGCAGTCTTTTTCTGATGCCATTGTTTTCCTTGCATTTGCTTCTCAGTTCCATGCTATTTTTAGCTTTTCTTGGTTCATTCCATGTTTTATAGGCTACCTCTGTCATGCTAAATCAGATAAGTACAGTTGGTTTTAAATTAATCTGGTTTATTTTAGTTCAGGACTCCATAGTCCAGGTGTAACTAATCTTTACTTAATCTGTGTTACAGAAAGCCATTTTTTAAGTCACGATTAACTATTCTATATTAAGGCCTACTCCTGGTTTAATTTAAACCCTGTCTGGGAAACCGCCCCTTAAAATTCATTTCTTAAAAAAAACTAAAATCTTACTGACCCCAAACTTTTGAACAGGAGTGTATTTCAGTTATCTTTTCAGCAGATAAAGGGATGACACCAAGACAAATGGTTAAAATTTATTTTAATGTGTCCCCGTTACAGTGTGATTATACATTTCAGTACTGAGTAATAGTAATTAACTACATGTACTTACTATAGGGTAAGGGTAGGATTAGGCTTTGGTTTAGGGCTAGTTGCATGTAATTATGCCTAATTTATAGTTATTACTATAGTAAATACATGTAACGTGTGTAACAAGGACACATTCAAATAAAGTATTACCAGACAAACTACTCAACTTCAAGAGATAAAGGAGATGAAGTGTCGACATCTCAATGCCATTGTCAAAAGGGTGAACAGAGTCGCCTCCATTCCAGTGACTTACTCTGCAGTGCTGAATGCCAGCTCGAAGTTATGTTTGCGCTCGGCAGGGGACAGGACGTTGTAATCAAACTCTGTAGGGAAGAAAGAGTGGACTAGGGCGCAGAATGCCATGCCGTCACTCCAGCTGGATGAGAAGTTTTGAATGTCGATGTTCTGCAGATTAACGGGAGAGAGTGAACCTATTATATGTCACAGGACAGAGGACACTGGGGTTTTGCCCCCGTACCCATCAACACAAAGTCAAAATTGGCTTTATATACTTACTCTACTCATAATAAATGTGCCTGATTTCATTGTGCATATATATATATATATATATGTGTGTGTGTGTGTGTATATATATATACACACCTTAAAATAAAGTAAAATATAATAAAACTTAAACTTATTTTATTTCAGCTAGATGACAAGTCAATATTTCTCATCTTCATTTAGTTTAACTTACTTATTCATTTAGTTTAACTTAAACTAAAACTGAAATAAAAAAAAAACAAATACATTTTTTTTTGTGATGATGCAAAATTGAGTAGTGTGCAGTAATTAAAATCAATTAAGCATTTATGAATCTAAAACTAAAACGGAAAAGAATAATGAATAACAATAGATTACAAAAAGAAGGTATTATTCTTCTAGCATTTGTTCCTCTTGACCAGTGAGTAAGCGAAAGGAATAGAAAAACAATAACGTCCTTTGAGATTCTGCAGAACTGCTTGTGGTTGTCAGAGCAGATGTTTTATTGTTGTCTGACTCTTATCTTCATATGCTGAAATTTATAGTATTTTATAGTAATATTTATATTTACTCATCCGTATATAGCTGGCAAATCTGACAGGCAAAGACAGTCTCTGTCACTGAGGGAAATCTTCATGTGTGTTTGCCAGCTGTCTGCTCTGGTTCTCATGTTTACATACTGCTCTCTCTTGATACTAAATTAGGCTTGACCGTTAATTTTCTATCTCTAACTAGACTAGAGCCACATGTGCTGGTTTACAAAGCTGCACTAGAGTCAGTCAGAATATATATGCAGAGGATACCTCTGATACCACACACATAATGTTCATTCACAATCTTACTGATGTTAATAAAGTTGATATGCTAAAGCTAATAAACAGAATAACACTTTATAATGAGCTTAATCTTAAAATAACAGAATAAGAAGCCCTATAAGGCAGGATAATCTGCATCTTATCAGGCTGAAGTGTTGTTAAACCTTTCTTAGTTTTAATACACTGGCCTTGTTGATATGTGGGAAAAGCTCCCTTTTTTTCCTTCTGATTTGAGATAAGTCCCACCATGACATCTATGGAATATCTTACCTGGTACCCAATAGTCTTGGATCGACACCACTCCAGAAGAATCTGCTTGATACTGCTAGCACTTGATACTCCAAAGCTCTGAGAGCGTTTTAGCTTTGGTTTGGAATCCACTGGTTTGGGTCGACTGAGTTGGGAAAGATCAAAGCAAGAGGTTTTTACTTGGATTGACTTTGCAGAGCATTAAAAAAGCATGTGGTTGCATAGGCAAACAGGACAATTCCTTTACCTGTTGTTTTCAGAGTCCAGCCTCTCAAAAATGGACCTGCGTGCCTGGGCTCCAATGTTTCGAGGTAAAGTCTGGGACCTCACAAGCTCCCGTCTGCGCTCAATACCTCTGCCGAAAGATAAATCTCCTGGCATATCCACATTCCTGATGCAAAGAGAGAGAGATGGCTGAGGAACATTTAAGTTCGGTGAAATATTATAATTGTTTGGTAACACTTCACACTTCATTTACTGTATGTTCCGAAGATGAATGACATGAGGGTGAGTAAATGATGACAAAATAAAAAAAATTTTGTGAACTAACCCTTTAAGTATTAGTATTACTATTGCTTGTTGTTAGTTAAATGACAACTAATGAACTAACTAATGCTAACAAATTGAACCTTATTGTAAAGTGTTACTATTTGTATGAGACTGTCTTGCTGAGTGAGAGAATATAGCAAATTCTATTTGCATTTACATATATTCATACTCTACCCACCTGTCTGTATTGTGTGAGAAAAGCCCAGAGTAAGTCACTGACTTGGCCGGAGCTGAAGATGCTTTCTCTGTAAGACAAAACATGGATTGACACAAACAATGAGACAGACTGTATGATAAAATCACATGCTGTGAATATGAGTCAAAGAAGTTGGTTGAATTTGTCCTACCACTAAGCCGTGGAGAACCCATAGTCCTGGCTGGAGTTGGAGCCCATGTTTTCACAGACGGCACTGTAACCACAAGACCAACACACACCTTTAGGTGCTGACAGCAGAAAGAGTCATCTGTAGCCTCACTCTGTGAAGCTGTGATGGAGTCATACCTGCATTAACAGGAGACTCTAGTTGTGGCTGGTTATCGCTGCTGACCGCCTGACTGTTTGTCAGTGAATCTGTTATGGTTGAAGGCATTGCTTGCATCGGGCTACCAGGTGACTCAGGACTCTTCATAACTGCAGAGTCAGCCACTTTGGTGGTTGCTGTGATTGGCAGGTGTGGCATCGCCATGGGAACGGGGGCCGAGTGCTCCTGTGACACACCGTTGGGTGGTGAGTTTCTCCTCAAAGGCATAGAGTTTTCTGATTGGATAGAGGATGTAAATATGTTACAACTGAAGCAGTATAATGTCTATGTATCTATCTATCTATCTATGTATCTATGTACCTATCTATCTATCTATCTATCTATCTATCTATCTATCTATCTATCTATCTATCTATCTATCTATCTATCTATCTATCTATCTATCTATCTATCTATCTATCTATCTATCTATCTATCTATCTATCTATCTATCTATCTATCTATCTATCTATCTATCTATCTATCTATATTTTGTTAAGGGAACATAGAATAGGCTTTCCAGAAGGAATTATGGGCAATACCTGTTGAGGATAAGTGTCCATTCTCCAAGCCTTGGGGAATTGGTGCTGGATCCACTTCAATGGGCTCATCTCGCTCAATGCTCTGTTAGAGAGACAAGCAGTATTTATGTTTAATCTTTAAGAAGACTATTCATTTAGTAACACTTCAATGTAATCTTTATCAAATCTCAGAATGAATATCCATTTTTGATACTGTACATTATGATGTTGTGATGCCTAAAGTCACTTGTAGCATATAAATATGATTGATTTTATTTTTTAGAGATTTATTTTTAGACAAAACCATTTTTTTTTAATGTCGAGCTGTTTTTGAGCGTCAGTCTGCTTAGTTTTTTCTGTGTTTGGCACCGTTGGCACGTGCTAGTTGACAGTCGCCTTTAGTCCTTTTTGTGTGTTCAAGAGCAGCTTTTTGGCCGAGATGCAGCTGACGAAAAGCGACAACACAGTCAGCTTTGTCACTGCAAGTTCTTGGATGTCGGCTTGGTGTGTCCCGCGCTTTAAAAAGGCTATATGTAGAAATTAGAAACCCTGGTTATAAGCGACACTGACTGGTGCCCATTAAGTGAACAGCAGCCAGCAACTTATTGCTAGAGCACATGTAACGTACAAAAGACTCAATGTGATTCGAGGCCCCGATATACTCACGGCGAAGTTCTTTTTCGTTCTTTGCTCAGAAGTGAAAAGTTGAAAATATCTTTGCAGCAAACTCCCTGACCCTTTCCCCTCAATAACAAAATAATTACACAACAAAAATGACAGCAGTGAGAAAGCGTCAGTTAAGAAAGCATCTGATCATGGCGATGTGGACATTTGGACCAGCTCTGCGATTCACTGGCATCTTGTCAACAGATGAGGTCATTAAAACCACACTGTTATGATAGTTTGATTATAAAGCAGGCCTATATTTGAGACTATAGACTATAGATCTGGCTACGTGAGACTATAGTTTGAATGAATCCCTTTTCTTTGAATGACACATTGACATTACAGTACAGAATGGCTTTTTCGGCATGAGACAACTGATGCGATTATCCAATAAACCCCAATCAAAGACATGAAAAGAGACAAAGTGGCTCCAAATGTGTTTTTCAGGAGGGCACATTCTACAAAAGTAAATGAATGATGTAATCTAATCAAAGACATTTGATTGATGGTTCACTATGATTCACTATGGAGACCAGTAATGTTTAAAGAAGCCTAGTCTCCTTTAAAAAGAAATCAAAGCTCTGGATCAGGGCCGATGTGGGTCATCAATACAGATATTGCTGCTGGTCTATTTTAATCTTTAATAGTCACTTCTACCCTCCATGCACTTTTCTGCATGACCTAAATGCAAGATCACATGTTGATATTAGTGCCTTGAAGGTACACACTGACACATGAAGCTTGCCGCCTTGCTTCATTTCCTTTAGACCTCAACCATCAAATAGTTATACAGATACAGATGTTTGGCATCGGCTGCAATGAGCTAACCAGTATTAAAGCAGATTGTCTCCTAAGGGGGTGGCGGACTAGTTTTTTAGGGCCTGGAAGTAAACCAAAAGAATGACTGTGCACATTTAGTTATCTCTGGCGCTGTCATTAATTACCTGGCAGCTTATCAATGGACTTTAAAAAGCTCTTTTGTGTGTGGCCTGAACCTCACTAGTACATGCAAACACATGCTAATATGCTAACAAATGTGCACAGGCTATAAGGAAGTGTTTGTTTATGAATGCAAATGCAAAACACACAGGGATTAAAAACCAGGCATGCAATCAGGAAAGCATTGCATTTTAAAAGAGAAATAACTTCTTAGTGAGACTCAAGGAGTAAGTGAACTGGCGAGAAGGAGGCTAGGTGACATCACATCTAAAGAATGCTGAGGGGCGTGCGGTCGAGGGGGAGCAGCTGCCTGTCCCATTGAGAGAAGGAGATAGGGGGAGAGACAGACTTCACCCCAGCCATGAAACGTATCCAACTCTGATTTGCTGGCTGAACACGCAGCTTCTCGGCCCAATCCAGTGCTGGAGTTGCTGCACTGCGGACGTCTGTTGTTGGACTGTGTCATATGTCAGTTTCTCTAGGGCATATCAGCAGACACGTGACCTGTATTACAGTGATTTTGGGCAGCCTAAAAAAAAACATAAAAAAAAAAACATTGCCTGCAGCCATTAAGGTTTGTATCTGAAATTCCTTCCAAATGTATTGGTTCAGGCACTATTCTGGCACAGAGGTCACCTGCTGCTCGGTCCCTGGGCTAAATTAAGAGGTGTAGGGGGGAATCTTACCACACCCATCTCACATGTTAACTGAACCGCATGCACTCACCCCAGTTGCTCTTTTTTTTTTCCAGGAACAACACATTCCCAATCCCAGAGAATGCGTCATCGCATTAATAGAGAGAAGTAATAAAACAAGTGCAGGAAATAGGGAGGTGAGACAGAACATGTGGAAAAGCACTTTAGTATAAGGCTGCAACAACTATTCTGATAACCGATTAATCTGTCCATTATTTCTTTAATAACTGATTAATTAATCAGTATGAACATAGTTTTGTATTGCTGCTATGATTTTTTATTTTGCTTTTATTTTTCAATCTTTTTAAAGTTACTATTCATATTAAAAGATTTGAATTAATTACAGTTAATTTTTAATTCATTTGAATATTTTTTAAATGAACGTCCAAAAAAAATATTGTTTTGATTAAAATGACACATCTAAAATGTTCCATTAGATTGACAGGCATGTACATGTAAGTGTAAGTTGTACATTCAAGTATTTAAAGAACAGCATTTTATCACTATTATTCAGTTGACCTAATTAAAAATAGATTTTCAAATACCAAAAAAAGTGATGAAGATAAGACTAATTGCTAATTAAATTTGACTATTTTTAATATCAATCTGAAAAGAATGATTCAATCACAAATCTGGGTCTCAAAACAGGTCTCGAACAGATCATTAAATCACTGACTTGATAACTAAGGCAATCAGATCATTTGAATTCACTATTTAATCATTTTAATGCTATTTGTGAACTGCTTCATCTAATCAATGAAAAAAATTATACTGTAATAATACTGCAATTGGTTAAGTCGAATTCACGAATGAATCAATTAATGTAATTTTTTAACTGATTCAACTGATTAATTGAAAAGAATCGGCTTTATTCAAGGAATTATTCATTCATTAATCGGACATAGCCATTGGGCCTCGAATCCGAACCATTGAGTTGTTAACTTCTGCAGTGAGTCAGAATTCACAATTGAATCATTCACTGCTACTGCTGTAACCTTGTTCAACTGATTCACTTAAGTGACTATTTTCAATATCAATTATCATCAACATATAAACGTTTAGTTGTTCAGCTCAACTTCAGCCCGAGTCCTCTAGCCACACAAAAGAAGGGGAAAAAACGGGACAGTCCATACTTTTGTCCTCAGGGAGGGTCACTCGTCTCCTGTACGTGCTGTTCTTCCACAAGTGAGGACACTCAAAGACAATGAGGGTGGTGTGGAGAGCAGCGTCGCCTCCCAGACTATACAAAACAGACCACTATAAGACTAAATGCAGCCCCTTCAGAGACACAGTAATCACTCCTGCAGGTGAGGAGACAAGAAAAGGCCTTGAGGAGTCTTCAGTCTATTTGTGCTGTCCTACCATAGGCCTACATAAACCGAATGCCTCTAAATGTGGTTACTATGTACAATCCGTTCAGACAATGCACTCCCCTTACAGAAAACCTTTAATGTGAGTCGTCTAAATGTCCCTCTACGGCAAAATAAGAATTTCCCCAGCGTGTTGGCAGCCTGCCTGTGCAATGCTGAGGTGCATAAAAGAAGATTTTTTCCTGTGTATAATCACAAGGTTGTATTGTATATAATCTCTCAGTGATTTGATGGGAGTGTGGCGGCTTGAGCATTGTGACTGCAAGAGAAAACAGAGAGCTGCTCTGTGTATGATCAGAGAGATGAATGCCAGTTTTGATAAAGCTCTGTGTGTGTTGGTGTCTGATTTTAAACGTATCAGAGGGGATATTCTTGCGTCTCCTCCGTGACATTTGAGATTCTTGGAACGTTGTGGTGGCGGGGGAATGGAATGGAACATAAACAACAATAGAGGGCATGTTTGTGGGAGAACTCTGGAGGGTTCAGTGGACTCATTCCAGCCCCAGTCTCTCAAATCCTACAGATAGCCAGCTCTTACAAGGCCTTCTCTGGTATTAATAAGCCATGCCGATAATGCTATATATATTTTTCCAATGTACAAATAGCTGGGCTAATTTTGGAAGTGAGGGTCATGATCAGAAAACGTAAAGTGGATACTGTTTAAGGCATAAATCAACAGTGTGAAAAGCAAATGTATAATTTGTGATTGAGAGAAATGTTTGCCCCCAATTTGGCCGACAGTAATTTAAGGGTCATTTTTCCTGCTGTTAGAAAATCAGAGAGATGTAGAGTCTATAAAGTTGAGACAAATGGGGACGGGATGCCTGGTTTGTGAGGGTCTTTGCTCTGTAATTTCCTCCACAAACTCAAGTGTTCATGCAGAAAGAAGCACAAACACCTGTTTTTAAAGCACCACAAAGCCTGCAATTTCTCTCCTCTAGCAGAAGCAGGAATGGAAAGAAAACCTGCGCAGAGAAGCATAGAGAGACATTTGAACACTCAGCTGTGTGTGAACTACAAGAATATTTCAGGGAGTTTGTTGGGTGTGCTTCATTTTCACTCCCACATACTCACAAATTACATTGTAAAAAGCCTTATAAAAATGGTCCTTCGGGCCAGATATTCAAGCCCTGAATCTGACCTTCTGATTTCATTTCATTGGTGTAATTTAATGTAGTCAGGTGGATTTGGACATATGACATTATTATAAATAATTATGAGTCAGCATATTCAAAATTCAATTCATCAGTTTGTTTTGTTAGCTTGAGAGTCACTTCAACTAAATTACTGAATCAGTAAGTTTAACAATGATATTTGTGAATCAAAGCATTTCAAACTAACTAGCCTAACTAACTAACAAACTAAATCAGACATTGCCATCAAGTCTTGGAGCAGGTCTTGACCGGATAATTGAATCAGAACTGAAACTGAGT